TATTACTTTATCATGTTTGGCTTTACCCAGCGCACTGTTGATGATATGAAGTTCATTCTCAATCTTCTTATGATTATCGTCCGCCTCTATCCTTGCTTCAACTTCCTACTTCCACTCATGACAAGCATCATCATCATGTAGTCGGTGTTACTTTGTGGTAGATACCCTTTAACATATTCAGCTCATCAGTGTTCTCCTCGTTAGTCGCTATGATCCTCTCATGCTGTCTTCTATCCTCCCTCAATTCTTGCTCTAATCTGTAACATTACCATCATCACTATATATTCCTCTATGGCTCTTATGACGTATGTAAGTCATGAACTAGAGTATCGAGAGTATTATGTTGTTCATTCAACTCTTCCTCTTGTGTGGCCACCTTCTTAGCTACCTTCAACACCTCAGCCTCCATCCTGAGCAGCATCGTCATGACACCTCCATCACGTATCATCATCATCAATGCTACCGGTCCTTCCTTCTACCCTCCTTCTCCTCAATATCCTTATTCGTTCCATAGGCCAATCGTACATCCTCAAGCTGATACTCATACTCCTATTACATGTTCTAACGCTTCTTACATCTTGTGATAGCGCCTCATGTTTTATCTTCAATTCCTCTACATCTTGTGTGAGTGTGTTCTTCTTCATAGTGAGGTCAGCGGACTGCAGTAATAGTCACTACTGTATAAGTACTAATGCTATTATCACTATATCGTTCAACTTCTGAGTCTGCTCCTTGAGTTTATCAATATTATTCTTCAATGCATTGATCTTCACCTCTCGATGCTGTGCTTTATGTATACCCTAAATACCCTCATCATACGAGTATTTACTTACTCGCTATATGACCTCATCTAATACGGTCGTTAACGTGCTCAACTCTTCTCTCAAGGACTTGATAGTAGTAGACGCTATGTTATGCTTCTCATCAGCTGCCTCTACCGAACGCCATAAATCTTCAGTCTCTTCCTTTAGTTTTTCTATCAACTTCTGATCTTCATCACTATCATCAATATTATCATACATCGCATGAGCGTGTTCATCACCTTAGTCGTACAGCAGTCTTCACTTTGTTGATATTATTCTCCATCTCCGATTTGAGACGATCATATTTATCATATAATCGTCTTTCTGAATCATTGCTTCTCTGCAGTGCTCTATATAATTTGAAATACTCATTCTTCAGATGTCGTAATGATGGTTCATCGAGTACTCCCTGATTTGCTCGAGTTGTGGTATGATAATAATACTGTGAATATTGCTACTTGTATAACAGTATCCAAATCAGCTTCCAACTTATCGAATGCTTCCAGACTCTTCTTGACAATATCAATTTGGGTATCAACCTTCTCCTCCTTTTTACCATCACTCTTACCTTTTTTCGGTTTATTCTTCTTATTCTTAGGAGCCATAAGAGCTATGAATAACAAGGAAACTAGTCAGATGTGTTATCTTAATTATGACGTGAATGACATTGCTATTAATGATAGCACGTTGATAATAGTCGTGTGAAAAGATACAAGAATGCTTCCTGTATTCCCTCTCCAGTGTTAGCGCTTGTCTCGAAATACTTCATACCGTTCTGTGCTGCATAGTCCTCACCTATCACCACCAGATGACCAGCGTGACTAACGTTATCATTCTTACCTTGTTCTCTAGTTACTACTCTCAATGCTTCAACATCTATCTTATTAGCTACCAGTATGATGGGGATCTTATCCCTACCAATCTTACTGTTACATTCTCGTATGGTGATGAGCTCATTGAGCCAACCATCTAGTGCTCTGAATGATGCCATAGACGTCACATCATACACCAGTAGTCCACTCTGATGGTGGGAATTGCCATCATATGTGTATTCTTATTATTACTTGTGTATTATCATAAAATTCAATCCTGATATCTCTGAATTCGTCATGTCCAGCCATATCGAAGAGATTAATCTTCATGATATGACTCTTTCCTTCCCCACTGTACTTGATAGTCTTCGTACCATAATCGATACCGATAGTACTATCACCATCATCATTGTCATAATTAGCAATAGCCTCATACTATCACCTTATATATCGTTTAATAAATCTTCCCTCACAATACCTCTTAACTATACAGCTCTTACCAACAGCCTCCGCTCCCATTGTTATTATCTAATACTCACTACTACTACTATTAGTGGACAACTGTTCTTACCTTGTATCGCGGTGCTCCTACGGAATGGTTGATGATGTTTATGTCAATAGTTATGTTGGCGTATGTACTGCTACTCTTCCCCTTCTCACTAGTACGTCTATGACTGACGTCCCCACGATTTTTTGATGTTAGTCGTTTGATGAGATCATCCCTTTCAATGCAGTCATCATGTCTTATACCCAAACTCGTCAGTCTATCCTTGAGTTCCTTTATACTCATCGTATTATACGATACCCCATCACTCCTACTCGTTCCACCCGTCTCACTCTTCACCTTATCACCACCATCACAATGCTTTCTAGGATATGGTTTCTCTGCTTGGTTCCTCCTTGGTTGTTCTTGTTTCCTACTGATGATACCATCTGTTTTATTCTTCTTATTGTACCTAACGGGAATTACTATACATAACGCGTCGCTACATTACATATATCGTGTGTTGGTGTTGGACAAGACCTCGAAGGCTTGCTTCACTGACTTGAACATTTCCTCATC